ATTCTTTATTTTCTGAAAGATAGCTGTGCAACTTTCATCACAAACTCTTTGAGAAGAAATCAACACATTCGCTGTACTGCTGCAGGAACAAAACTTTTTTAAAAAATGTCATATTAAAGACACAACTGCTGTCATATCAGCCAACAGTCCAAAGTTAAAGAACACACCAATACATATTTAGAGGGGAACTCGATACATTGAGAATCATAAATGATTTCTTTAACAGCTTGTTCTTTGAATAGTCTCAAGGTTTATGCCTGATTATACATCTATACATTATTCTGTTCCAGAATAATGCACGCACTTTTATTTGATATTCTTTCTACAAAGGTTTCATCTTAAAATTAATTGCTTTATAAATTATGATCTCCTTGAAAATATCTAGACCTGTTTCTGGCAGTGTAAATTTTACTTTTGTTTTACTTCTTATTGCCTTATTAAAGGAAGGTATTGCAGAGATAATTTAACCAAAAAGAATATTGGGGTAATTTGGGAAGACTTGGATAAAAGTTCTGGAGGACTATTATATCAACATATTCTCATTATGAGTTCGTATGAAATCGTACGAAAAGTTATGCACAGTATTTCGTACGTTTTTGACGTTTTTCCTCAAAAATACAGGTCAGTGCGCATGCGCAGCCAAACAGATGAAAAAAGCAGACCCGCGGATGGACGTAAAACTGGGAAGAACAGAGCTATATTTATATCTTCATGTCTTTAACTACGTTGCTTGCTGTTTTGTATCTTAGGGTTAGGGTTAGGGTCAGGGTTAGGGTTAGGGTTAATTGCAGGTTGAATTCTATGTTATTGAATGGTGCGTAAGATGCGCATGCACAAGGATTTCTTGTCTCCAGGCAAGACGTAAAAATGCGACGAAATACAACGAAAAAAACGTCAAAAACATACGAAATAACTGTGCATAACTTTTCGTACGATTTCATACGAACTGGTAATGAGAATACACTGATTATATTTATGAAGAAACATATTTCATGGGATGACCAACCACCAGCCAAAGATTTGAATCTTTCCTCAGCAGAGAATGGTGGACATAAATATGAATTTTACAGACTTATCGATGAAGGGAGGATCTTAAGGCTTTAGAAAGTCTAGAAATTAAAATTAACATTTTTTTTTTTACTTAAGCTAACTAACAACAATAAGTCAATCTCACTACACTTCAATTCAGAGGTTGGTGGTAATGCTTAATAGTTGTTTGCTAACCACCAATAAATCTGATGAAGAAGTCTTGTAACTGTATTGTTGATTTTACAGTATGTTTTTTGTGAATGACATTAAAGACAAGCTTTAAAGTTAATTAAAGGAAGAAAAAGAAAACATTTACTATTGTATCTGTAATTCAGGGGGTTTTAGAAGATAGGAACCTGTTTTTGATTCACGTAAATATAACACTTTAACACTTGCTTTTTAAGTGCAACTAGTTTTCATGATTTGAGTAATTAAATCACATCTCTGGTCAAGAAAATATAACCAAAAATGCTGTGTCAGCTCAAATTCCTGCCTCGCACCAACAAGATCCTGGGTTTGATTCCTGACCCATGCTCCTTCTGCATGGAGTTTTAATTTCCTTTCTGTGCATTTTCCTTTTAAGGGACTCCAGCTTCTATCAACAGCCCAAAAACATGACTGTTTGGTGAGTTGGTATTAATTGAAACTTGCCTTGATTGACGGATTAAGAGGCAGAAGGTGGATGGATGGACTAAGCAGTTCCTATGCAATCAGTTAATATATAAAAATTTGCATTAGGTATTACTAATAGAAATAATATTTTGATTATTTTAGGTAGTTGAACTAATGCATAATTCTAAAAATACAGCTCTGGTTAATAGAAAGTAAAATAACTGGTTCACTGTACTTATTTTTGTAATTGCTACTGGTTTACATGCTTTTATAAAGTAATGATGCTAGTGGATTTTACAGTGTAGAGTCACCGTTGACTGGAAATCTTGTAATCAGTCATGGGCTGATCTATGGGGCTACAGGTAGTTTGCTGTACCAAACTCAACATGGACCAGAGAAAGTAAAGGAAAGGGTTTTCTCTGTAAATTAGGAAGAGAATCACAGACATGCATGTTAAAGGTTAGAAGACCACCTCCAAGCAGCTTGATGTTCCTGTAACAGCAATTACATATTATTCAGAAATGTAAGATACATGGGACTGTAGTCAACAATCCTGGATAAGGCCACAGGAGGTAATCTGATGACAAATCAAAGATTGATAATATAAGAAAGGAGAACATCTTAAAAGATTAAAAGTTAAATTGAGGATCAAGGACCATTGGTGTCAGATGTTGTATGTGTGTCAAAGGGAACTTAATGGGAGTTCATTAAGGACACCGTTGTTGAAAATGAATCATTAAAAAGACAGACAGGAACTTGCCAAACTACATGTTAACAAGCCACAAGGCTTCTGGGAGAATGTCCAAAAAAATTGAACTTTTGCCCAGGTACTTCAGGTACTTTAGCTCTATGTTCACATACAAAAAATTAAGCCTATCTAGAAAATAACACTGTCCCTACTGTAAAACAAAAGACTCTCTGTTATTTTTATGTACTAGAAACAGATAGAAGTCATTTAAAATTATTATATATTTGTAAAGGAGGCTTGAGCAAGTGCAATCAGAGTTTATAATCCCTGAAATTATTTTAGATGTGGGGGGGAACCCTCCATATTTTGCTTCCGAAACTATATAGGGATCTACAAAGCCTCTACAGATCTCAGGGTTTAGGGTTTGCTTTGGCTGACTTAAGAGTGCAAAGTAGATTTTCTAATTGGCGAATGCTATTTCTAAGAACTCCTTCCTACTTCTAAGCCATTTAAAGAGGCTTTGAAACATGTTATAAAGCTTTCAAGACAGAAGGCCGAGTATCAGTTGAGTATAGGAGCAGATGATGTTAGATACAGGATAGGTTTTTGGCTGCATTGTATTAAAATGTTCTGTTCTGATAGAGTATAGAGAAATCAGTGGAGTTTACATTGCCGAGAAAAAAAGATATCCCCCAATACATTACAATATACAATTCACCGCAATTCCAAACAATGTGAAAATGTTGCATTAGTTCCTTGTTAATTAGAATACCTTTCCATACCTTGCTTCAATACCTCCCCCAGCAGTGCTTGTTTACAGAGGCTTCATGTCAAAAACTAGGACTGCTGGGGGAGGTATTGAAGCAAGGTATGGAAAGGTATTCTAATTAACAAGGAACTAATGCAACATTTTCACATTGTTTGGAATTGCGGTGAAT